GAGATCAGATAATGTGAAGCTTTAACAATTTACTTTGTTTCTCTCTTTTCTTCCTTTCTTTCTCTTCCTTCCTTCCTCCCTTCTTTCTTTTTCATTTTGTTCTTCCATCAGGTGCAGTCAGTCTACAATTTTTGTATGTATTTGATAATACACAAATATTAAACATGCCTTTATTTAATCATATTTATTGATCACGTACTTTGTGCCTGATGTTCATCTAGCCACTGGAGTTTTATCAATGAACAAGACGAACGAATTCCCTGTCCCCATGTTGTTTCTCCTCAGGTGGGGAGAGGGACAAGAAAAAAAATAAATTCAATGCTATGAAGATAATAGAGCAAAGCACTGAGGAATGAGGGAAAAGTGGGTTGCAATACTAGACAGGGCGAGCAGTTGGAGACTCCTTAAATTCTCAAAACATGTACCTAAGTCATTTATGCTGAGAGATTCATAAATAATAAGTCAATTTTTGAAAAAAAGAGCCCCATATGTTCAATAATCGGTAGACTACTGATTTCTCCTAGTCTAACTATTTGTAATTTCCCCAATGGTAGATAGAACTTTGCTTCATTTCTTGATTCTAACAGTTGGAAACCATGTTTCTTTAGAAGACCATGAAATTTTACTAAAATGTGTTTGTGTTGTTAGAAATATACTTGGACATCTTACAGTGCTTGTTAGAGGAAAATTTTGTAAGAACACAAGTTATACAGAGATTCTTGCTGTCTAAGTAATCCAGTGCTCCTTGAAGCAGCATGACAAGTGTCTGTTCTACTATCATGCATTAAAACTCATTGATTGACTACTCAAGATTTCTCTGATTTTTCATAACTCTTGCTAGTTAAAGTAGCTTCTTCCGAATTCCAGTTCTAAGGAAAAACGCCAATTAGAAATGAGGGAGAGACTGTTCTAAACAAATCAGTAGATGCTAGAAAGGAGTAACAACTTGAAACCTGACCCAGAATGTAAAAAGAGAAAATTAATCATTAACAAACACAGCCATTTTCAAAAGCAAAGCAATCTGAATCCATTTGGAGTTTTTTATAATGGCCTGACTACGTTTCAGTTCACTGTGACAGGGCTATTGTTATCACAGAGATTGATGATCAGTATCAGTAAGTAATCAGTGGAAGGTTTCACCTATTTAAGATTATTAGCACACATATATGCATTTGAGAAATATTTCCCAAGAACGTAGGCTCCTTCCTCAGCACTGCGTCCCCAGGATCCTGATGAGTGGCTGACACAGGACAAGTGCTCAATTAATAAATATTGACTAAACGAATGAGTAACCCTTAAAAGTGGTCATTTTTCCTCTTCGAATGTTTTGCTACTTCATTAAAGTTGTAACGTTTCTGTAGTCCAGGAACTGTTACTACCTGGATGATTCAGGACAGAAAAATCTCTTTTGTACTTTCCAATACACTTTCAATGACATCTCATTTAATCCAACTCTTCGAAGTCCTAATGTCTACTGTCACCTCCTTAGCATATTTTCAGCAACACCAATCATAGCACCCTGTAATTGCAGAATACCTCTGGGGAAACTCCTGAATGAAACTTAGAGCTTTTGCGTTTTTTCCAGAAATCTTTTGTCCAAGTCCTCCAGTTATTCCTAATGGGAGACACACAGGAAAACTTCTGGAAGTCTTTCCCTTTGGAAAAGCTGTAACTTACACATGTGACCCTCACCCAGACAGAGGGATGACCTTCGACCTCATTGGAGAGAGCACCATCCGCTGCACAAGTGACCCTCAAGGGAATGGGGTTTGGAGCAGCCCTTCCCCTCGCTGTGGAATTCTGGGTTAGTGCTCATTTCCCCACATCCCAAATGGGTTCAAAATATCTAACGCAGGCCCTCCATATTTCCATAATTACAGTATGGTTTCTCTGTGTGCATTTGCCACAATGGAATGCCAAACCAATGATAAATGTTTCTAAGGTAGGTCAATACATCAGATCCTGATGACCTTTGCAGCTGGAGGGACTGATGAAAAAACAAGGAGGTGGTGAGTGGTGGGAAAGTCCTTCATTAGAATCATATGAATTAAAAACAAATGCCTGTGTATCTCCTCATTGAAATGTTTGGCTTAGAAATCTGACCTAGAAAATTGGTGGCTCCTGCTGCCAGGAAATGTCTTGAGTTCCTGCCCATGCTTGTCAACCTTTCATTGGAGTTTTGATGCCTTGAAGTACAAGGAAACCAGACACGAAAGGTGGAAGCTGGGCAGAAACACTCTTTCTGGAGTCCTAAAAATGTGAAAAATTAAATCAGAGCTATCTTTACATTAAATTATATGAGCATTAGCTGAGCGTGGTGGCAATTGCCTGTGTTCCCAGCTATTCGGGAGGCTGAGATGGGAGGATCACTTAGGCCTGGGAGGCAGAGGTTGCCGTGAGCTGAGACTGTGCCACTGCACTCCAGCCTGGGTGACAGAGTGAGACCCTATCTCAAAAACAATGAAAATAGGCTGGCCGCAGTGGCTCACACCTGTAATCCCAGTACAGATTATTTGAGGTCAAGAGTTCCAGATCAGAATGCCAACATGGTGAAACTCCAATTATACTAAAAATAAAAAAATAATAAAATAAAATTAACTGAATTATATGAGTAGAAAGACCCGATAACAGACTAGTCTTCCAGGTAATATACTTCCTTATAAGCCTATGCTAATGGAACTTTCCCTTCCATTTTACAGGGAAGTTATGTGTGTGTGTGTGTGTGTGTGTGTGTATGTGTGTGTGTGTGTGTTTTGTTGTTTTTTGTTTTTTGTTTTATAACTAAGAGTTTCTTTTCTTCTGGCATCAATCTACCCCAGAAGAGAAAAGAGGAAGCACATTGGGTATATTTTTATTAACTCAGATATTCTTGATTTCTTGTTCTCTAGGTCACTGTAAAGCCCCGGATCATTTTCCGTTTGCTAAGTTGAAAACCCAAACCAATGCATATGACTTTCCCATTGGGACATCTTTAAAGTACGAATGCCGTCCTGAGTACTACGGGAGGCCGTTCTCTATCACATGTCTAGATAACCTGGTGTGGTCAAGTCCCAAAGATGTCTGTAAACGTGAGTGAACTTGCATTGGATCTTTCCCATGTCGGCAAAAGCTTCTTATTGAATGTTTTCAAATGTGGGATATGAGAAACCTTTTTTGAAAAGTGTTCAGATAGGTGGATGTAAGTTTTTCTTGTAGGACATCCTTGATTATTGCTTGAAATGCTCACTTTATGAGAATGTTTCAAGGAATATTTGTAGAGAAAATCTTCATTCCCTATAGGAAAGAAAATAATACATGACTCTCGATCAGGGGAAAAAATGGTGTAGGAAGACAAATTCTGTTTGAATAACTAGGTGGGAAGAAATCCTTTGCAAACTTTGAAATATATTAGTAGTAAATAATGCCATAAGTGACTTTTACATTCTGATAAGGGATGCAAGGTCTCTACACAGATCTAAATCTAGATCTAGATAGATCTGGAGGGAAAGTCTTTTTGAAAGTGGGGCTTAGTAGGTGGCTGATCCTGAGGTGCTCTGATGAGTTTTCTCAAGGTAGCAAAATCTGTGGAACCATCAGAACTGCGTATTTTCTTCAGCAAGCTACATGTTGATGGAGACCTTACTTACTGAAGAGAGTCCTGATTACTCTACCTGGCTCCAAAATACTTTCTTTCCCATAGGTAAATCATGTAAAACTCCTCCAGATCCAGTGAATGGCATGGTGCACGTGATCACAGACATCCAGGTTGGATCCAGAATCAACTATTCTTGTACTACAGGGTGAGTTGGCAGCAATATCTCTTGATTTAAGAGTTCCAGCACAGCAACACTACCTTCTAGCCACATGTCAGGTTGGAAACTAGGCTATTGCCACCTGCTCTTAAGAGGCTTGAACACAGGTGTTAACTCCTGATTGAAATGAACAACGATAGGAGAAGATTAGGGCAAAAATCTGTATTCTTGCTGGAAACCAGGGCAGTGCACATATAAAGAGTATGCTGTTCACCGGATGGGAAGGAAAAATAATTAAGAGTGTAGTAGTCAAAGCCCACAAACAACCCTAACCCAGAGTAGACATTGCTGGAAGAAAGGGAAGGGCATGTAGTGGCTGTGTGAGAAAACAAATCTTAACGATAACAGCATGATCCCTTGCTAGGGCTGGCATCAAAAAGTACAGGGCTTCCTCATTTTATTGTACTTTGCAGATGTTATGCTTTTTATAAATTGAAGGCTTGTGGCAACACTGCAACAAGCATGTCAGTTGTATCATTTATCCAACAGTGTGTGTTCACTTCGTGTCTCTGTGTGACATTTTGGTTATTCTCACAATATCCCAGATGTTTTCATTATTATCACATCTATGATAGTGATCTGTCATCAGTGATCTTTCATGTGACTATTGTCATTGTTTGGGGTCCCTACGAACTGCACCCATATAAGACAGAAAACTTGATCAATAAATGTGCATGCTTTGACTGCTCCATGGACTAGACATTCCCCTTCTCTCTCCCTCTCTTCAGGACTCCCTAATCCCTGAGACACAATAATACTACAATTAGGCCACTTAATAGCCCTACACTGGCCTTTAAGTGTTGACATGAAGGGAGGAGTCATGCATCTCTTACCTGAAATCAAAAGCTAGGGATGACTAAGCTTACTGAGGACGATATGTTGAAAACCAAGATAGGCCAAAAGCCATTCCTCATGTGCCAAACAGCTAGAGAGTTGTAAAGGCAAAGCAAAAGTACTTGAAGGAAATATAAAGTACTGTTCCAGTGAACACATGAATAATAAAACGTGAAACAGCCTTATTGCTGATAGGGAAGAAGTTTTAGTGGTCTACATACAAGATCAAACTAGACACAATTTCTGAAGCCAAAGCCTAATCCTGAGCAAGGCCCTAACTCTCTTCAGTTCTGTGAAAGCTGCCAGAGGTGAGGAAGCTGCAGAATAAAAGCTGCAAGCTAGCAGAATTTGGTCCTTGAGGTTTAAGGAAAGAAGCCCTCTCCATAACATAAAGATCCAAGGTGAAGCAGCAAGTGCTTATGTAGAAGCTGCAGCAAGTTATCTAGAAGATCTAGCTAAGATCATGGATGAAGGTGTTACACTAAATAACAGATTTTCCATGTAGACAAAACAGTCATCTGTTGTACTTTCATAGCTAGAGAGGAGAAGTTAATGCCTGGCTTCAGAGCTTCAAAGAACAGGATGACTTTTTAGGAGCTAATGCCGTTGGTGACTTTGAGTTGAAGCCAAAGCTTACTGACCATTCTAAAAATTCTAGGGCCCGTAAGTATTATGCTAAATGTACCTTCCCTGTGTCTATAAATGCAACAACAAAGCCTGATAACATAGGTATGTTTGCAACATGGTTTACTGAATATTTTAAGTCCACTGTTGAGATCTAGTGCTCAGAAAAACAGATTCCTTTCAAAATATTACTGCTCATTGACATTACACCTAGACAGCCAAGAGCTCTAATGGAGACGGACACTGAAATGAATGGAGTTTTCCTGCCTGCTGACCACAGCAGCCATTCTGCAGACTATGGCTGAAGGAGTAATTTTGACTTTCAAGTTTCATTATTTAAGAAATACATCTTGTAAGGCCAGTTCCCACAGACAGTAATTCCTCTGATGGATCTGAGCAAAGTAAGTTGACAACTGCTGGAAAGAATTCATCATTATACATATCATTAAGAACATTCATGATTCATGGGAAGAGGTTAAAATATCAACATTAACAAGAGTTTGGTAGAAGTTAATTCCAACCCTCATGGCTGACTTTGAGAGGTTCAAGACTTCAGCGGAGGAAATAACTGCAGATGTGGTAGAAATAGCAAGAGAACTACAGTTAGAAGTGGAGCCTGAAGATGTGACTGAATTGCTACAATCTCATGATCAAACTTGAACAGATGAGGAGTTGCTTCTTGTGAATGGGCAGAGAAAGTGATTTTTTTGAGGTAGAGTCTCTTCCTGGTGAAGATGACATGAGCATTGTGAAAATGACGACAAAGGATTTAGAATATTACATAAACTCAGTTGATAAAGCAGCAGCAGTATCTGGGAGGATTGACTCCAATTTTGAAAGCAGTTCAGAGGGTAAAATGTTATCAAATAGCATTGCATGCTAGAAAAACCTTTTGTGAAAGAGTCAATCAATACAGCAATTTTATTGTTGTCTCAGCTTAAGAAATAGCCACAGCCACCCCAGCCTTCAGCAACCACCGCCCTGAGCAGTCAGCAGCCATCAGCCTTGAGGCAAGACCCTCCACCAGCAAAAAGATTACAACTGATTGAAGGTCAGATAATCTTTAGCATTTTTTATCAATAAACCATTTTTTAAGTATGACTTTTTTCAGATATAATTCTATTTCACACTTAATAGACTACCGTATAGTATAAACACAACTTTTAGACTCACTGAGAAATCAAAAAATTCATATGACTCATCTGTTGTGATATTTGTTTTATTGTGGTGTTCTGGAACTGAACCTGCAATATCCTTGAGGAATGTCTGTAACACAAAATGGTCGGCTTAATACAACAGAAGTTTTTGGAGTTCTATTCTAGAGGATGGAAGTCCAAAATCAAGGTGTTGACAGGGCCATGCTCCCTCTGAATCCTGTAGGGTAGAATCCTTCATTGCATCTTCCAGCTTCTGGAGCCCCAGGCCTTCCTTGGTGTGTGGCAGTAGAACTCCAATTTGTTCTGTCCCGGTCCTCACATGGCCGTCTTCCCTCTGGGTCTGTGTCCTCATATGCTCTTCTCCTCTCTGTGCATGTTTCTGTCCAAAGTTTTCCCGTTTTATCAGGACACCAGGCATATTGGATTAGGGCCTACCTTAGTGACCTCATCTTAACTTGATTGCATCTGCAAAGATTGTATTTCCAAATAAGATCACATCCACAGGGACTGGGGGTTAAGACTTCAACATATCCAGGGGAGACACAATTCAACCTGTAACAGAGCCCCTTTGAAAATGTCAAGCGTCAGGTGCTCACAGCGCACGGCCCAGCTGTTGGTGCTCAGCCTTGCTCAGCACACAGTGGAGGCTCTGCCCCAAGCTCACTCTTCATGGGAACAGCTAAGCCAGGTAGTGAGTAGGGGATATGTTTGTGCCACTGCAACCAGTACTGAAAGGAAGCTTGTGGTGTCCAGCATATTTGCCAGCCTAGGCCTCACAGACCATAGCACCTAGAATCTGACAAAGTAAAATTAGAATAAATCCAATGTCTCCTTTTCTCTTTTTTTTTTTTTTTTTTTGGTGCATTTTTAAATACAATTGATAAATTTCCTGACTGTACCCTCCTCATCTTGCATTGCTGAATAAGGGGGGAACCTCTCTAAGGCATACAGCAGAAAACCATTGAGCTTATGACTAGAAACAGGAAATACATGTAAAAGAGACCAGTCTGAAAAATCAGGAGAAATTTTACAAAGAGATTTACTGCCAAGAAACCAGGGAAACTTTCTGAACACTCTCCTTTTCATATTGGTAACAAGATTCAATTGTACAAATACTTCTGTGAAACTAGCCATGAAGTTTGTATGTGAATGAATATATGTATTCCGTGTGTTTATATATTTCATTTCATACATGTGATATATATATACATAAACATATATATATATATATATATCTCACAATGAATATTGCAGAAAATTAAAGCAAAGAGTAAGAGGAGTTAACCAAATTTTCCCTGAATGCAGCAGGGAAAGCTGAAAAGGAGAAGACAGGCAGGCACAGTGACTCACACCTGTAATCCCAACACATTGAGAGGCTGAGACAAGAGGATCACTTGAGCCCAGGAGCTCGAGACCAGCCTGGGCAACGTGGCAAAACCCCATCTCTACAAAAAAGTATAAAAATTAGCTGGGCGTGGTGGTGTGTGCCTGTAGTCACAGCTAGGCAGGAGACTGAAGTGGGAGGATCACCTGAGCCCAGGAGGCTGAGGCTTCAGTGAGCCGTGATGGCACCCCTGCACTCCAGCCTGGATGACAGAATGAGATCCTGTCTCCAAAAATGAAAAAGGAAAGACATATGTAACCCAGTGTCAGGATTCAAAATACATGTAACAAAAATTCTAGAAGGGTAAACAAATAAGCCCATACCTAGCCGTCACTAGGGAAACTTCTGTGTTTCAGGGATAAAGGAAAAAAACTCAGATCCCAGAAATAAAACGTGAAAATATAGTACCCGCAAAAGAAATAAATGTATTGACACCACATTGATTCTGTACAACACTAAATGGCATAAGGTAGCATTTCTATTGCACCAAGCTAATATTCACACCTAGAGGCTCAGGTACACATTAAAGGATAAGCAAAGACACAACAATTGTACCATTTAAGTATGTTTCCCAGGCAATTTATAAGCAAATTTTCTAAAAGGAGAATGATGAATTCCAAAAGAAATCTCAACAACAACAACAACAAAAATACAAAAACTTGGCAATGTAATCATAACTTATTAATAATCTCTCTAAACTCATAGAACGTACCAATAAAACTAGAAAATGTGAGACAGTAAAAGGTAGGCTAGACTTACATTACACTAAAGATGAGTAGACTGACTATATAGAGTTTGACTCTAAAATTGAGAAAATAGGTTTAAATATGTGTCGTGTGCATATGTATAATATATGTGTGCACACATACAAAATGAAATTCCTCATTGGAAAACCTATTAGGTTTATTTCTAAATTATTAGAATGACTAAAAACAGCTGAATCTATCTGTTCCATATAGTAAGTGAGAGGGAAGGAAAAGGAATAGCAAGGAATGCATTTGTCTCTTCCACCAGAAATAAACCCCCTCATGTTGGGTCAGGTCATTTTATTCATTGCTTTCTCCTCATCAATGTCATTGGGCATCGTGAAATCAATGAAAAAGGCAGTGAAAGAATGATGATGAAAGCAAATCAAATACATCATGTATCTCAATACATGTGGTTTAACCTTCTTGTTGAAAGACAAAGTCTCCCAGATAAGATCAAGAGCAACAAATCATGTATTTACAAAAAACATGTCTCAAGTAAGATGACATCATATAATGCGCACACACACACACAAAATAAGGAAAAATGCAAACAAAAAATGGCAGAAATAATATTTAGAGAAAATAGAATTTATGAAAAAAAAAGTCAAACAGGTCTACAAAATAATTGTTTTATTTTGGTGCCAGGTACAGTCCACAATGAAGCCAAGATATGAAGAAGCAAATAGGCCAGGAGAAGTTAGAGCAGAAATATTTCTTTCAATAGTGAGAGAATAGGAAAAAGAAGTAGAAAAGCTGGGAACAACAGGTAAAGTTTAGGCTAGGCCTTAGACTTCTCCTACATTGTAATCCTTCTGGTTTGCCACATATGCATGCTGTGAGGACGTCGATGAGGCATGTACAGCACAATTATTTTCCACTGTTTGCCTTTAGGCACCGACTCATTGGTCACTCATCTGCTGAATGTGTCATCTCAGGCAATACTGCCCATTGGAGCACGAAGCCGCCAATTTGTCAACGTGAGTTGAAGTCTCTTTCCCCATTCACCCCACTGTTTAATCCTAGAGTTGTCCTCCTAGAATCACAAAGAATGAATCTCATCCCTCTTGGAAATGGTATCCTTCTGATATTTGAAGAATCCAGTCATACATATCCTTAAAATGACTCACAGCATCCCAAACTTCCACCTTCACCTAGAAATGCGTTTTTGTTTTTTTCTTATCTCGAGGTGTAATTTATTTTAAACTAGTCTTGAGCTCATTTAAACAGCCCCCAATTTCCTCCTCTGTTGGTTGAACACCTCACAGTTTGAAGAGCATTTTCTTCAGTGAAGTCAACAAATACAAAGTCAGTGAAAGAAACCCTATATCCTCTCTGCAAGCTCTTAGTATCACATCGGATATTCAAGCCATGCAGCTCTTCCTTCCTTCTTATTCTTTGTCTAAACAGGATCATGCCGTCTTCCCTGTGAGTTGTTTGGAAGATGAGCTTTCTACATTTTGGGGAGCAAAGGGAATGAGCAATTGCAAGCTAAAAAGGAATATAAAATGTACATAATCCTGGGTTTTGGGACGATGTGAGGAAATCAGCAATTTCAAACCCAGTTGGTGGGAGGATAAATAGGAACCAACTTTGTAGAAGGTCAACATACTGACTGGGCACTGCCCCACAGTAGAGTAGGACACAGTATTCAGTTCTTCCACGATCAGACCAGATTGGGCACATTCAGGGTGGTATGGCTGTAGATAAGTATCCAGTTCTTTTTATTACTTCTGAATCTGTAAGTATCATGTTTATTATATGTAATGTTGTATATTTGTGCTTTGTCTATATTAGTCCTGCCAGAGTTTTTGGTCTTACTATTTAATAAAGATGCCATACTGAGCCATGTGTGGTGACTCAAACTTGTAATCCCAGCACTTTGGGAGGACTAGGTGAGCAGATGGCTTGAGTACAGGAGTTCGAGCCTGTATAACATGGTGAAACCCTGTCTCTGCAAAAAAATACAAAAATCAAACGGGCATGGTGGCACACGCCTATAGTCCCAACTACTCGGGAGACTGAGACGTGGGAGGATTGCTTGAGCCAGAGAGGTTGAGGCTGCAGTGAGCCATGATCCGGCCACTGCACTCCAGCCTGGGCAGCAGAGCAAGACCCTGTCTCAAAAAAAATGCTATGCTATATGCTTTATTATATTAACATCCAATACCACAAAGGCACATGCCTTCTATAGAGAGAGAACCAAATTAATAATGGTGAGATAACATAGTTATATTCTCATTTAGCAGGAGAAATAAAAACATAGACTATAGGCTAGGCACAGTGGCTCATGCCTGTAATCCCAGTATATTGGGAGGCTGAGGTTTGCAGATCACTTGAGGTCAGGAGTTCGAGACCAGCCTGGCCAATATGGTGAAACTCCATCTCTACTAAAAATACAAAAGTTAGCCATGTGTGGTGCTGTATGCCTCTAATCCTAGCTACTCAGGAGGCTGAGGCAGGAAAATCGCTTAAACCTGGGAGGCGGGGTTTGCAGTGAGCCAAGATCATGCCACTGCACTCCAGCCTGGGGAACAGAGTGAAACTCTGTTCAAAAAAGAAAAAAAACAACAAAAAAACTAGAAGTGGACTCTAATAATATATGGACACATTTAGTGAAATAAAGTTAACTGAGTAGAGCAGAACTCATAATATTTTACAACTGTAAGAACATGTCTGTACATTAGCAAATATCAGATGAGAATAATATTGTCAGTATTTACTTCTGGTTTTTTGGAATTAAAAAAACTGTCAGCAAAATTTACAATAAAGTATAATTTTAAGAAACCAGGCTGGGTGCGGTGGCTCACGCTTATAATCCCAGCACTTTGAAAGACCGAGGCAGGCGGATTGTTCAAGGTCAGGAGTTCAAGACTAGCCTGCCCAACATGGCCAAACCCCATCTCTACTAAAAACATAAAAATAAACCAGACACGGTGGTGCATGCCTGTGATCCCAGCTGCTTGGGAGGTTGAGGTGGGAGGATTACTTGACCTCGGAAGTGGAGGCTGCAGTGAGCTGTGATCGTGCCACTGCACTCCAGCCTGGGTGACAGCAAGACTCTGTCCCAAGGTTTTGTTTTGGTTAACTTGCTGCTTCTTTTTCCAGGAATTCCTTGTGGGCTACCCCCAGCCATTGCCAATGGAGATTTCATTAGCACCAACAGAGAGTATTTTCACTACGGATCTGTGGTGACCTACCGCTGCAATCTTGGAAGCGGAAGGAAAAAGCTGTTTGATCTCGTGGGTGAGCCCTCCATATACTGCACCAGCAAAGATGACCAAGTGGGCATCTGGAGCGGCCCGGCCCCTCAGTGCATTATACCTAACAAATGTACGCCTCCAAATGTGGAAAATGGAATATTGGTATCTGTCAACAGAAGCTTATTTTCCTTAAATGAAGTTGTGGAGTTTAGGTGTCAGCCTGGCTTTGTCATGAAAGGACCCCGCCGTGTGCAATGCCAGGCCCTGAACAAATGGGAGCCAGAGTTACCAAGCTGCTCCAGGGGTGAGTCTAACTGAGGCCTAGAAGGTCCCTGCAAATGACATGCATTGCTGTTGGATCAGGAGATCAGTATTTGTTCAGGGGGAGGGATGTGTGGTGAGGCGGGTGGGAAAGT